TAATAATACAAACTTAGTAAACAAATCGTTACATAGTGTATCGATTCGTCTGTTATTCGAATACGCGTGTCTCCGAATAAAAAAGAAAATTTGTCTACAATATCAACATCCACCTCGTTCAAAAATCATCGCCTTGTACTCGCATTTGTTTCATCCTCTTTTCCTTCAACTAACTCTTTTTTTAATCTTCAGGACTCCTGCCCGACGCCTTGGCCACCGGATGCAGCAAATGCTCGGAAAAGCAACTGCAAATGACGGAGAAGATCATCAAATTCCTCACGGAAAACAAACCGGAATTGTGGAACAAGCTCCTGGACAAATACGACCCGGACAAGAAATACAGAATGAAATTCGAGGAGGAAGCGAAGAAGCGCGGCATCAAAGTTTGAGTTTGACTGCCACCGTTGCCCTCGATGGCGGATATTAAAGAAGGGGGCTGAGGGGGCTTCGACTTCCATCCATCGTCGAATTGCTAATACTTTCGTTTGTTATTCCTAGAAAATATGGGATCCTTGGATTCTCGAAACCTCGAATCTTTTAGCAATTCTTTCTTTTCCTCTTTTAGCTCTCTTCCTTTGAGCTAATTTAATCCTCCGTTCCGTGGCCTCACAAGGCAGTTGAACTCATCCCAGGTTATTCGTCGCCAGTAATATAGATATAATATCGACGCACGAAACTCGACTGCAGATTAACGACCAATTGTAACGCGTGTAGGGAAGCAGCCTCGCTAAAGGAGACTTGTATAAATTGTTTTTTTTTTTTTTTTTTTTTTGTAAGAAACAGCTTTAATCAGCAAGCCTGTTTAATAAAACGTCGCAAAATTCATGAGCGTTCTATTATTCCGCTTCCGTATTCTCCTTTTACTTTTAACGTTACAACGCGCACGTGCCGGGTAGCCTTTGCACAGGAATAAAGAAATTAGGATGATAGTCCAGCGTGATTTGTATGCGTCGTGCGTCGCTCCAGGAAGTCATTGTGTCATTTTCACAAGGACAAGGTGTTATTGTCGGTTAAGAACGTTACGGATAGTCTGCAAATAATTGTAACGTAGTAATTATTTAATCGTGGTACATGTGAACACGCATGACATATTTTGTAAAGAAATCTTGTGTCTATATCAAGTATACATTATGTATAGTTTACCTAATGGTGTGCAACAAAGTGTTAGTGCATCTACTAAAATTTCTTTGTCTCTAAATTAATAGCAAACGAGTAGCATCTCTTTAAATTGATATTACACTTTAACCAATTTCAAATACTATACAGGCAATTCTAAGCGTTGTCGTGTGTTATTCGAAGCAACAATTTCCTTCGTATAGGTAATTTCTTTCTTTTTTTTTTCTTCTTAACCCTTAAATGGACAATGTTGTTTTTAAACAATATACTAAACATCACAGATAAAATTGACCTTCTTTTATTTTTTTTTTTGACAACTAGGAAAAAAAATTGTCCATTCAAGGGTTAAACTTAAATTCTAGGTACTGCAGGTGCCCGGTGTTAAACAATGACTGCCAATGGAACAATAAACGATAGTTACAAAGGATCGAAAAAGATAAAAAGGTTGTCTGTTAATCAAGTTGTCATCAGCTGATAACTCTGAATGCATAACAAACTTAGTTAAAAAAAAAAAAACCCCAAGTGTCTCGCATTTAATTATAATTAAATCGAGATTCTCAATACTTCGAGGTCTTGGTAACGAGTTCATCTGACATCCACAAAGAAGTGACGCGAAGAAGAATGACGTTAAAATAATTATGAAGGATTTCTTTCAAACTAACAAGATGGCGACACCGCAATGTATTTGAATATCGCATGAATCGATTCTGCGATAGAAGTTCAACGACCTAAGAGGCGAACAGAAAGATGGAGAACGCGACAAGCATCGGCCGTCGGGTCGAAAAGTTGAAAAAAAAGTTCTTCAAGTATTACTCGAGTCACTTTCCAACCCTGTTTCACGTTTCCTACGATCCGATAGGCACTCACAAAAAGTCACGCGCGTTCGCTGGCTTCCTCATGGGCTTTGTCTTGGGCGTTCTTCTATACGAATTCATCATCGTTGATCTCCACTTCGATCGTTACACCAGCTTCGGTCTTGCTGTCGTCGTCGTCGCGATGCTGTCCATTGGATGCGCTGCGTCCATTCAGGTATTTTACATTAAAATTACCCGAGTGAACGCGTGTTCGTTATATTATTTATTATATTATATTTGAATACTTAAACAGGAGTGCAATAGATAGGTAACGGTTGACTAAATTGGATCGCTTTTGAAATTTTCTTATATTTCAGGATTTGAAAGGAAGAATTCAATGTCATTATTAACGTTTGATAGTATTCGGTGTTATATCGTAGTAAAAAGTGTTTTAGTATATAGTAAAAGTATACATTATAAAACTATTAAAATAATGAATACAACAACATAATTTCCATAGCGATGTCTTGCACTTTAACACTATTCTGACGATATTTTATTTGATTTCAGGTGAGATGCGTTAGCCTGTTGTCGGTTGTATCGTTCTTTGGCCGTTCAGGGCGCGGTGTGTTAAGGGCACTGGTTTTTGGGTACGTGATCGCTGGCCCGATGTTCAATATGGTGATTAACGCGAAGGAAGTAGTGAGGACGTTCGCCTGCACTTCACAGCTGACGTACAATCTCACCAAAACACGGTTCGACTTGATGTTCAAACCGTTTCAACAGGTAACGTATTTATACAGATATTTATAAGATTAATTATTTCATTTCAACGAAGTTACGATAAACCTAAGAGAAGGAAGTACGAAAATTAAATAAAAAGCCCATCGAAAATTACTTATTTCGTTTCGTTCGAATTAATTTTAAACAAGAATTAAAATATATTTACACTAAAATCCTCATAAACGACACGTACAAGTACAATATGTTCGTTTAAATATGCAAGTGTAAATGCAAATTTTACATTCTAAGAAGGAAGGTCTGTGAAATATGAATACGAAGCTTACAGCATCTACTATAATTCGTAGTCGACGAGTATCGAATGATGCACAAAAATAACGACGGATTCCTGATATTAGTAAGCAATGTTCGATATCCTTTTTGTAATATCGATATCATTCTTTATTGGCTAGGCCATTCTTTCAATGAAGACTGACGGAGAAGAGATAAAGGACGCACTGTCCTCGGTGAGAGACCTGATGAGTCCTATCGTGGAGGAAGTGGAAGGCGAAGAGGAAATGCTGCGATTGAAGGAGCAAAACGATTATCTGGACGAATTGCAGGACGACACGAAGAGAAGCGAGGAAATCGAAAAGAAGCACGAAATGAAAATCGAGGAAGCCGAGTCGGAGGCAGACGTGTACGAAGCGAAGTACAAGAAGAAGATCGAAGCCAGGTGCGAGGAACAGCTCAGTCGGGGAGCAGACAGATGCAGGTAATCTTATTTATTTAACATTATTCCACAACTTAATATCGTTTTGGCTCAAATTCAAATCGTCGAAAAGTTTCAATAGAAATTGAATGGATAGGGAATGATTACCTAAATTGATTATTACTATATATCACGTTGTATTATTTTATATTCTGGTATTTGTCAAAAATCATAACAATCGGAACCGGACACGTAACAAGCTTTCCTTGTTATTCACTCCTAAAATAACTATAATTTTAAAGTTAAGGATCATCGACAACCAAACAATACTTGCACATTTAACAGTTAAATTTTTGGTTCGCCGTGCATTGCAAAGGGACATGTTCAAGGGCGCTTACGACAGCTGTTACGAGAAAGTCACCGTGTTCGTTGCGTGGCTTCTTTGCTGGCCGATGAAGCTGACTTTCGTGTGCAACCTGGTCCAGTCATTGGGCGGAGCCAGCGTCTGTGATCCCGAGGGAAAAGTTGACAACGGTATCGGCGAGGGTTACGCCGCCTTGAAGAGTATGCATTCGACATTTTCCCTCTCGTAAAATTCTCAATAATTAACTATTACGAGACGAGTCACTTTTTTGGCACGTGTGTCTTGAGAACAAACGATCAGAAAAGGCGTAATTGTATATCCTGAGTAGAATTTTATAATCAGTAAGAAATATTCTTGGCGATTAAAAATATGTTTACCAATTAGATGTTGTATATTTCCAATGAAACATATCCATCGAATAATTTGAAAAAGTAGTTTAATATCGCACGTCTGCGAAATATGTCTGTGAAATATTAAGTGTATCGTTAAGATTAAGATTCAAAATATTTGATTAATTTAAGAACGTATTAAGAACACATTCTCGAAGAAGTTTTAATGTTACAAATACTAGTGCTTCTGGGAAATCTAACGATTCTTCATACTTTTAAAAATCAATCATTTCCTTAATTATTATTATCTCTTCTGTTTTCGAGGCACCTATATATACTATGCTTTTCCAAAACATTATCGATGATATCATAATTCAAGGGTGTGTAAGAATCTTAGAGACGCGAAAATGTTTACGAGTCACCGAGTTGAAGCCTTTCCAACGTTAAAAACCTAAAAATCTTTCCGAGATTAATCTTCGCGGAACCTTCGATAACATTTAATAAAATAACGATCCGATTTGCTACCTGCGAATCGCCATTTTGTATGTTGAAGTTCACCGGGGCGATCCTTCTTCAAAGGTACCAGGGACGAGTTCAGCAGGAGTCTGAAGAACGCCAAACTGCAATACAAACTGAAACGACCGCCCGTGATAATGGATCTGAAGGACTCCGTCTACGCAGCCAAAGCTGTGATGAGCGAATTCGACGTGAGAAAACGGTTTTTCGAGTCGGTGATGGTGATCATAAGGAGGTGCTTGTCATTCGTGTTTCTGAAGATCATCCTGAACGCCCAAAGCTATCACGATAAATACTTGACCGACATCGAGCACGACAACGTCTACGTGACGCCGTACTTCCGGCGAATCGACGCCAGAAGAAAAGCAAGAGGCAGCGGGACGTTGCTGCCATTGAAGAAGATCGAACGGAAAAAATTCGTCGATCCTTACAGCTGGAAGCCTAGCAAGGCAGAGGGATTTCACACGACAGGCCAAATCGTCAAGCTGCTTCTTCAAATTACCGCTGCTACCGTCTTCGTTATTTTAGATAGCCTCTTCTATGAAACGTTGGACCTGATTAGAAGGCATGCTCATATCGAGTATATGCAGGTAAAGTTTATTTAAATGTATGGTTGCTGATTTATTAATAATTACTCTTTAAAATTGTGCACAGGAAAAAAATACACAGTGTTTAGGTTTAATCGTTTCTATGGGTTACTTATTGGGTTACTTATTATTTACAAGTATTTTGTATATTACTTTGTACTAGTTTCAGTATAAAATTCTTCTCGGGATTTGGAATTATCGCATGAGAGTTGATTTCCTTAAGAATATTTCTTATCAAAGAAATTTTTATAACGTGTCTGCAAATGTTTGCGATTAAAAATATGTTTACCAATTAGATGTTGTATATTTCAATATTGTATATTGAATATTGTTGTATATTGAATAATTTGAAAAAGTAGTTTAATATCGTATGTCTATGAAATATGTCTGTGAAATATTAAGTGTGAAATATATATATATATATATATGATGAAACTACTTTTTCAAATTATTCGATGGATATGTTTCATTGGAAATATGCAACATCTAACTGGTAAACATATTTTTAATCGCCAAGAATATTTCTTACTGATTACAAAATTCTACTCAGGTTACACAATTATCTCGAAATCACACAGACCAAAAGAAAAGGTGTAACTAAGAAATAAATTCAAAAGCATCAGCGACAATCTTAAGGAAATCAATTATCGCGCAGCAATTTAAAAATAATTCCTTAATCGAAACAACGAATTCCCTTTTTAATTATACTCGCATGATTTACATTTCATTCCGCAACGCGCCGTCAATTTCTATCGGTTAAGGTGGGTCACCACGACTTGTCGCTGGAGATCCGTGGCACAGGAGTGATAGCGTCGCTGATCAGAAGCGCAGTGCGCGGCTTCAACGTGAAGAAGCACATAAAAACCGTCACCTCGAACGAAGCCTGTCTTCCGAGGCCCACGAAACTGTTCCCTCGCGTCCTTTTCCAAATTTACGGGACCTTCTTCGCCATTTTCGTTTTGATCGTCGTCTCTGTTTACACGCAGAGAACTCGTCGCGGCATCTGCTCGTTCTTCTACAGAAAAAGGGAGAAAAGACGAGTGTTGTACCTTTACAACGAGAGTCTCCGTCGCAGAATCGGTTTCGCGAAGTTCACGAAAGCCAAAGTGAAGAGTCTGGTGAGAACTCGTCGTTTGGAGTACGACGTCGACTTCTGGATGTCGCTCAGACAGAAATGGCCGAAGCGGTTCGAATGGCTGAAATTCTTTGCCTGCGCCAGGGAAAGATGCTTGATTTGCGGCGAAGTGGAGCCAAGGAAGGGACCACCCTATCGACAGTGCACCACGCCTGGTTGTCCTTTCGTTCATTGCGCCGAGTGCTGGAGGGACGTTGGAAAGATCTGTTACGCATGCGCAGAGTTACCCGATACCGATTCCGAAGGATACGACACGCAACGCAGCGAGCTTTAATTTTAATTAGACGTCGAATTCGATGCGTATTGTGCGAATAGAGATTGCGATTATAATTCATTCTAAAATGATGTATTTACGTCAATTGATGTATTCATCCTAGGAATCGTCGATCAAGTATTTCGGATCGTATCGTACTCTACATTATTCATTCTTGTATTCCATATTATTACATCGCGCGCTGTATATGATGTCGGATTCCACATTTTTTACAGTTCAACACTTGATGTTAGAATATTTCATATTTTTAGCAGAGCTGTAAATTCTTAATTAACTTGCCATTACAATTACTCTGTCGCGTGTAATTGGTATTCGCGATTACTTAACTACTGCCAGTAATCCAATAAACTTTTTAATAACTACTTGTAACTGTCCAGAAAGTAGTTAAAAGGCGTCTCGAATCTGAAGTAGTTAAAAATACCTTGAAGTAGTTATAATTACTTTTTCATTACTTTTATGGGTATTTTTAACTACATTAGATTTGGGATACCTTTTGATTAATCTGTAATTAAGAATAAGGTATCGCATTATTACTAGAAACAAAGTAGTTAATAGTGTAGTAATGTAGGATGTTGTGATCTAATTGTACGTAAAAAATATAAAATGTACAAATGTGGAACGTGGAATGTAGTAATGTAGTGTAGCAGTAATGTAAAATATAACGACGTAGTTCTAGATAAATATTAGCAAAAGTATTTCTTGTTTTTTAAAACGTACCACAATTGAACCTGTATACTTTCATTATTTTTGTTGGATGTCTGCCTTTTAAATGTTCCCAAATAAGTTCGTATTTTTATTATATTGGTCAAACTACCAATTTATTTAACTAATAAAACTACCTTTTATTATAATGTTAAAAGTCGAAGTGATCCATTAAGTAGGAATATTAAAGTTGAGGTTGATTGTGTTTAGGAAGATAAGAGTATCAAAATTAAAATTATATTTCAATTGAAACCGAAATAGGTACTAAAATAAACATTATACGAAATGTTTATATTTCAATAAGTATAGGTATAGTAGCATAGTAAAAGATCATTTTAGAAGCATTTAGCTATGAAAAATCTATAGCAATCTAAACCCAAAAATCGATATGGAACAGTAAACAAAATGTCAGAATACACCATTAAAGAATAATAAGTTATTATAATAACATGAATCAGTACAACATAAAATTGAAAAGGAAACTCGATTCCCTTCGAACTCAACTCGTCTCCGCATCAATTGCGTTTAATTTAAATCACGACTGACGGTACGTAGCGCGATTATCATTCTCAGTAGATTCAGTTTTCAGTTTTTCCTGGTATCAGGTTTTCCTTGTATCGGTTTCACGTCCCGAAATTTTGTCGGAACTGCTCGTAACTCGATTTCTAGGGAAGGCTACGATATCATCAGAGATGGCGAGACCCAGCAGCTCTACGTATAAATCTCACGTAGCGAAGTCTCGACAAGAAGTCTCAGATTTCACGAGTCAGGGACGAGAACTTGAAACGCGTTACTCGCCGCGTTGAATTTACGAAGCCCGAGACGCCTGAAAGGAATACGAAATAACGCGGAGGTGGGATCGTTTATGGCATTACAATGTCTTATCGATCCCGAGGAACTCCTAGTTCCTGTTTAGTATCAGACGCCTCCAACGAAGCCAATTTCCTATTCGAGGAATCGTTAATTCGTTCTCGAGATTCGTTCTCGTAATCTAGTCAAGGACGCGGGGATCGTTCGTGGCTATTTTGTTGAATTCAAGGAAAATCTGCGACGATATTTGCGAATCGATTGCAATACCACACGAGATTTCGTAACGCGAACAAATTCTATTCACGTAGCGGTATGCATCGATGCTAATGACGCGTATGCTTCCTGCAAGAAAAGAAGTTACTAAGGAACTCGGAATTTCGTAATATCGATAGCTGCGATAGGTGTCGGTAGGAATGTTTTCATTTCGAGAGGAATTAGAAAGGAGGTAATCGACCAAGGCGTAAGTTCATTCTTAACTTTCGCTACGTTATTTCTTGTAATTAAAGATACACCTCTTCCTAGAATTTCTCCATTGACAGCTTGTATTATTTCGTATCGGACATTTCGAATTTTCTATTGCACATTTTTACATTCCATATTCTATATAATTATGTTAATTACTGTGAACTACATTTCTACGTTATACTCTACATTCTGTTCAATATCCATGTCGTACTAACTTCCACGATGTGAAATGTGAACGTGGATACTACAAAAAATGTTGCAATGCAGGTACGTTGAAACGTGGAATGCGCAAATGTTCAATGTATAATAGAGAATATGCTTAAGTAATAATTTAGGATGGTATAACTTTGCGATTTAAGAATGAAAAATATTATCATGGAGTTGACTAGTGCATGGAGAAATACCTGAGGTAGAAATGTCGAATGTGCTCTGTAAAATAATTGGAGTTTGCTTTTCCATTATTCGTTTCGCGACTCGTATCGTTCGACACAATTTAGAATGAACAAAATGGATTAATTGTGATCTTCGTTTGTCAGTTATTTCAACTTTTTCATTGGCTCAATTATTTCTAACTATATCCTTGAAAATTATGATGATAATCGTGATGATAATCGTGATGATAATCATGATGATAAATATTACAGAACGTAAAAATATATTTAAAAAAAAAAAAGAAGATAAAATGATGAACTTTTTCTTTCTGTCTCATTATGTATATCGTCTTCTGTGTTTCATTCTTCTGTGTCTCATTCTTCTGTGTTTCGTTTGCGTCATCGACCATTACGACCAATACATGAGAGCAACAATAACTGCTACATTAATTGAACAATTTCGTTGGAAATTTTCCTAACCTGATGCACAATATCGCGACATCTTCTTTACCTTGAATAGCCGATGCTTCTTTTCCTTTGATCTATCTTTTTCTTATTCTATACGTGTATCTTCTTCTATAATAGAAAATTATTACCTCGGTTACTTGATTCATCTTTAACGAAAACATTGAAATGTTCCTGAGAAGTTCTTCTAATTTTAAATGAAAAAAAAAACAGAAAAATGTGTCGAGGTAGAGGTATTTCTCTACGAATGAAAATCTCTTTAAAATTCCAAAATTCCAAAATCTCAAAAACGAAACGTGTTTGAAAATTATACGGACGTCTCGTCAATTTGAAATCGGATCCCAGAACTGCGTAGACACCAAGATCGTCATTCCATGTAACGGACGTTTCAGGGTCCAAGAGAATAACGTCAACGCTCATTGTTTTCCAATTTATTACGCCAAGAGTAGCAATTTTCTTGGATTACGATTTACGATTTACGGTAGCAATTGGTCGCGATTTCGTGCGACTAACGAACCGTATCCTGGACATATAAAACGTCCACGATAACGAGCTCGGCATTCAGTGATCGCGAAATCAGCTCCAAACGAAAACCAAACTTTGCACCAAGATGAAGAGTGTCATGATTTCTTTTGCACTTGTGAGCTGCCTGCTCTTGGCAGACGTATTCGGCGAGGACAAGTACACGACCAAGTACGATAACATAGATATTGATACGGTGATCAGTACCGAGAGACTTCTCAACGGATACGTCAATTGTTTATTGGATCGTGGTGCTTGCACTCCCGACGCTGCTGAACTTAAAAGTATGTAATACGCGTGTATTATTTAATATAGGAGAAAAACATTGTGTGATCACTAATAGATACGTGGTATCTACTATATGTCGAGAATTTACCGTTTAGTATATTTTTTTGATTAACTGCAATGATTCGTTTATCATCGAAGCATTTAATTTAATATTAAAATTAAAATTGAATGCTTGATAAATGATTAGCCTGGATTGTAATTTTTAGTCAATCGCGTAGTGTTTCGTTTAAACAAATTAATTTCTATGTATTTTATTTTCTTAAGTAACGTTTGCCACTTTCGCAGACTCTGAAGTATACAAATACTTGAAAAGATCCAGAAAAATGATTTCTTTCTCTTTACAATATTTTCATCATCAATTACCTGTCATAATTTTTGTTTCTTTTATAAATGTACCTCAATAATATCTATGACATATATATTTCATTGGTACTAACTAGTCAGATCATTCAAAAGTTACGAATTATTTTCGAAATATGTTTTTCCGTCGAAATCGTTAAACATCGAAGATCGATATTTAACAAAGTTACAAATGAGACTTACAGGGACATACTTAAAAAAGTGTTCTATGTTATCTGGCTACGAGCTTTAATGGAATTTTTAAAATTATCTTCCCTAATCGTTCTCCCATTGAAATATCGTAAATTAATATTAAATAAACTAACGTTATCTCGCTTGTTTAACGCGAACATGAAAAATGTTTCTATCGTACTAATGACGAACTAATTTGAGCTTGAATTCCTACATACAGAAAATCTTCCCGATGCATTGGAACACGATTGTGTGAGCTGCAGCGAAAAGCAAAAGGAAATCGCAGACAAAGTCTCCCAGCATTTAATCGACCACAGAGCAGAGGATTGGAGCCTTCTCGAGGCAAAATACGACCCTTCGGGAGCTTACAGACAACACTATCTCGAAAAACAAGCCAAAGACAAAGCGATAGACTAAACCGCGCTTGGTAGTTCTTCAACCAATTTGCAATTCACCTTTATTAACTTTAAATGCACTTTAAACACACTCGACTACGCATTGTTAGTTACTTGGTATCAATTATAAACATTTAACGAGTCAGTTGAATTTAATTCACAACACTTAAACGATGAAAACATCCAAATGGAAAGATACAAATTAACCAACTCTGCCGTAAAACCAGCATCCTCAAAACATTTTCACGTGGCCATCCGTTCGGTATCTCTGAAACAATTAAAACGTCAGATTTAAAACTCAGAAAAAGATTTCCGTAAACGGTTGCAAATATTTCAACCCTTCGCTATGATTTCCATCCCTATAAAGAGCGTACGTTTGTGCTTTCAAGTTATTTGAATCTATTCGTAGCTATCCCATTAGCCATTATCCAACAATTTGTTCCGATCTTTTAATCGTCCAACCTTTAATCTTTTAATCGTTTTAATAAAAATGCTCGTTACGACGAGTATATCAAAAAGTCTTCCGGATCCGGCAGCTCGTAAATAATATCTGGATCCAACGGTTCCGAATCAGGTCCCTCCAAAATATGCGGCGGTCCAACGATACGTTCCTCGAGGTCGGGGTTCTTAATTGCGAGATAATATTTTTGCATGTATTCGCACGTCAAGTACATGTAGTAATGGTTTACGATAGCATGCGTAAATGCTGTCTGAAAGTAGCATAAATTTGAAACGAGAATGAATTTCAATGTCGGATCGCAATTGGCGAATAAATAAATAATACCTCGGCGAGTAGCCGTGCTAAACCTCGACCTGTGTATCTATATGGTACAGCAATTGTTTGCATGTCCAAGACCTTTCCTTCGGCTACGTAATGCAGCACAGCTTTCGCTAATAAAAATAGGATGCGACATCGAATGTGATCGGTATCGTTACATTACAATTTATGGATGACAGTGTGTTTTGCGCACGAATAGAATCAAAGTGAAATCATTCCGGTGGAATTACTGCGAGTCAGTTTGGAGGTATTTGTTTGTTTATACGGAAGAATCGATTTTTATGCGCGACGAAGGACTCGAATGAAAGTTGTATAATTGATATGATACGATTGGGGACCGTTGAAGTTTAGACGATTCAAAAATGTAAGAGTGTAAGTTACGAATATATTAAATTAATTTGCTTACAATTATCGTCCAGTTTTACGTAAAATAGGCCTCGTTTTTCGTTGTGTTGTACAGTGTACAAAAATCTAGCATACTGATTTCGCTTGGTTTGTTTTAATATAAACGACGATATAGTATTCACGTAATTCATTCCATCTAGGGACAATGATATGATATTCACCAAAATATATATACTTTGTAAAACTTTGATTAACCGTGTACTTACAATACTTATAAATTTACGAATTTCGTGTTCTCTCGGATGGAAACATAATATGCGTACACAAGGTTACATTTTTGTTGACGTACAGTTGGTTAGCAACAATAATCGGGGCTACTGTAAGCCCTCAGGGTCCCGAGATGCTCGAGCTGTAACAAGTCGGTGGACCGCAACAGAATAATCCCTGATGGGCTAAATTACGAGGAGAGATATCAAAGCGAATGCAAAATAATGTAAAACAAGAATAAAATAAATATAAAGAATGAATAAATTCAAAACGGTACATTAGCTGTTAAAGTTATCACTTTGCGCTCTTATACTGTAAATGAAACTCGCGAAACTATAATCCATAATCACTCTAAACGAGAATATAATTTACATATTTGATTGATAGTTGACAGATTCTGATTAAATTTCATTTAAATGATAAATTCGCGGCAACTTCGAGATGGCAACCGAAACGACAAGAAAGCTGGTAACGGTTGCCTCGTAACAGGGGGATATCTGCGCCTACGAAATACAAATCGAAACCAACGCAATTACTGTGTAGAATAGGTTGCCGCATAACGGGGAATCCCTTCGCCTATGATACGGCAACCACGCGGACAAACAGGCTACCGCAGGTTGCAGCATGACAGGGGCACACCTGCGCCTACGCTATGGCAACCGTATCGACAAGGTTGCTAACGTAGGTTGCAGCATGGCAGGGGCACATCAACGCCTTCTACATGGCAACCGTATCGACAAGGCTGCTAACGTAGGTTGCAGCATGGCAGGGGCACCGCCTACACTGCGGCAACCCAACCGACAAACAGGATAGTATTACAATTATAAACGATGCAGCAACCGACTACGTGACTGATTCCGTTCATTTCTCGTTCGGACAGCGTCGGTGTAACATCACGTAATGTCATCTAACGTCTGATATCAACTCCTAACGTCTCCTAACGTCTCCTAATAACTACTAACGACTCCTAAAATCTCCTAACGTCTCCTAATATCTCCTAACGTCACCGACAGTCTCCTAAGGACTCCTAACAACTCCTAACGATTCCTAATAACTACTAACGACACGTAAAGTCTCCTAATATCTCCTAACGACTCCTAACAGTCTCCTAACGTCAGATTGGTAATCGCAAAGCACTTCCTGGTGCTACCGTTTAACCCGTACCGAAGGAGGAGAAGAGAACGCTGTATAATCTCGTGCTACATTTCGCGGTTTAGGGTTACCGAAAATATCCTGTATCCGAACATTCGGGGAAGCTGTAAACCCAGAGTCCACGTGGGTGGTCGGATCCCTAGGACAATCCTTTGCTGGTTTCTTAGAAGTCCGAGATTTCCAAAGAGGGACAAAGAGAAGCAGTTTAGACTCGCAGCTTGCGACAGCCGCGCGTTACTTAGAAACAAAGGACGCCCGTGTGCGTTGCTTTGAATTATCGTGCACATGATAAAAAAAAATTAACAAATAGTTGCCTTTTAGAAAATTAACCCATTTATCCGATTTACCAAACGATTCTTAACTTTTAGACATGAAAATTTGACACGAGTTCCAATCTGGAGCGCCTTTTATCGTCATTCGTAGATAAGTCTTTCTCTTCTTTTCAAACCAAAAGCAGAAATTTCTAAACATTTTAACACAATGTACCTTCCGGACAATTTTCCCTTATTGTTAATGTATCACTCGTTGCATTTCTACTTTCAATAAAATGTTTACGATAAACGACACGTGTCTAACAAGTTTTGCGTCTTTCAAAAAAAAAAAAAAAAAAAAAAAAAAAAAAAAAAAAAAAAAAAAAAAACACCATACGAAATAATGGATAAAAAATTGTGTTCCACTTAACTGTAAATTATACGAAGCCGAGTGTGCTAAGTTTAACATGCCTTAAACGAAAGGGTTAATAACGGTTAAGTACTCCCCGGAGCCGAGGAATAAACAGGAGAGCGTGTTTTCAAGTGAAAGCGGTGATTTTTATGAACTACTCGGGACACTTTATTGCTGGCGTGGCTTATTGAACGTACCATGTGCCTGAATTCCACGTGGATAGACCCGTCATCGTGAAACGTCTTTGCGGTAATAAAAAGGATTAAGAGGGCCCCGAAGGCGGACTCCGCTGTGAAACTATTAAGCCGGCATAAATCATGTTTCGTAAACGGTCGGTGTCTAATCCGTAAGCCCCTTACCAATGACAAACTTTCGTTGTGCAACTATGCGAAGTGCAACGGGAAAGTGCTCGAACGAATTAAAATTGTTAATGAGGAAGTCACGAGAGTCGTTGGGCCGAGAATAGAGTCACATTGTATACACGAAGAAATGCAAGCGAATAAATTATATAACGTACAACTAACTAATGGTTTGTTTGTTTCAAAATTTATTCCGGCCTCTTTTTTCAAATTGAGCATCTTGTCGTTGAAGTACTTTTTTTAAATTAAACGAAATCATTTGAAAATGGATCGTCAATGTATGTTTTAAAATGGTACTTTGTGTAACTTTGATAAATGATTGTGCACTATTTTCCAAAAGGATTTCAGTTTTATTACCGAACGAAATTGGTTAATTTAACTAATTATGTGAAATACAAGATGTGTAATCATAGAAGAATGTATTCTTCAAATACATACGTATTTATTATGTACCATTAGTATAAAGTTTCAATTAAATAGGTCTCTTTACTGAGCTCCTTACTAAATTTTCAGAAATCTCATAAGTACAGGGTAAATTCGACGCTAAAGCTCTGTAAATGGAGAAAATTTGCGAAATTGCAACGACATCCACCGTCCATCGTTATTATAAAGAATCGAAATCTAAGTTATACATACATAAAAAGGCCAGACGGACCATCAGAAGGACCTAACTCGTCGGAAGGAAACGTCCGTTAATCGAGAAATAAAAAGACCAAGCAGTTCTGCTTCGAAACTCGCGAACGAAAAAAAGGTAATTTTCACGTCAGCGTTCCGAGAAAGGAATCATATATCAGCAAAGGACCTAAAATAAGACGATTAAGTTTCTCGCGCGAATATATTAACGGGGATTCGGGACAAAGTAATATTTTCGGACAAAGATGCCTTCTTCGATAAAGTGAAGAGAGAGGTCCAATGCTTTTTAATTGCGATCGCATGAACATGGCACGAAAATTACTTTGAGCGTACCATTTAAAACGACGTTGAAAAGACGTTAATTTTACGTGACAAATGATAAAGAGAAAATTCGCCATTCTCGGTGGGCGGATACCGATCATTTCAGATTCGAGATAATAATACCGCTACATTTCCAAACTTTATAATTACTTCGACGATACCGAATAAAACGTGCATTATAATTTGAAATAATGACACGTAAACTATAAAAATACCATAAAATACTATCAAATAGACACCCAATTTTACATCAATAAACACTATTCCCAACATACTAACATACTATTCCCAAACTGTCCAAATCGTTTTAAGAAAAATAATTCTTAAGGATGCTACACGACACAACCTCGATTCTTCATAAAAATAAAACTATTAGTCGTAGCAGTTTCTCCACAAAATAAACTGCTACAGGTACACATTGTAAACCGGTACGACTAACGTTTTAATCGGGCTATTTTCTCTATTTCACGTTCGATAGAACCCAAGGACTTTGCATTCGGTCCGATACTTCTGATCTCGTTTCACGGTAGCAGATCTCGAGACTGGTCGCGTAGCTTTGACGTAAAGTGTGCTCGACGGATTCGATAGCCAAAAGACCGACGAACAGGATTCGTTAATCCGTTAAAGTAGCCCCGACTGTCATTATCCTTTATCGAAAGACAATCCGACGCGGCATGATACGAAGCCGACCTGTGAGAAAGTGCACGCGCGTCGGGTACCAAAGACAGGTAGCCAGTTTCGAATGTTCCCACGCGTGGACCACTCGCGACCATAATTAATCCGCGACACTAGAGGAAAATGCCTCGTTAAGGTCGATTCAGACTATACGACTATACACGTACCGTCGCCGTCACGACAAAACATTCAAACACGCGTTTTAATGGAACTATTCGCGCTATTCCTGAACGGAACGTTCAGGTCGGTGTACGTTAAGTGTGATTAGTTCAGTTGAAACGCGTGTTTTAATGTTTTGTCGTGTCGGTGCCGGTACGTGTCTGAATCGATTATTGGTCTTGCAGTGAACGTGTCGATAAAAGCGGAGATGGACAGAGTATCGCGGTTGTTTCTTTCCTTCTAACAAAAGCAAGACGTTTCCGCTTACGAACAGAGACCTATGCATGTCTCCGCCGTTCTATAACATCTCTACGTTTCTACCACGGTCTGAACATAATCTGAACAACTGACGCGTATAGTAAAATAATAGTAAAAATAAAAGAGTCCCCTTTTAAAACCAAGGTCCACAGAACCAAAGGTCCACAGAACCAAATATCCAGCAAGTCGTCTCAGTCCACCTTGCCGAATGAAATGGCTCGGTACTGTACCTATTCGTGGCATAATTTTCTCTCTGGTCCAATGCGTAGTCACGTGGTTCTGTTTACCCTTAATGCGTTCAGTCTCGTTGAACAAAGCGCGTGGAGGTGGGTACGGAGAATGGTTCGAGGCGAGCGTAGGTACGCATACGCACGATCCACCGTGTACACCTTCACGTGCAGGAACACAGGCTATCGTGGTTATTAAGGAAACAGACGAAGGAACGAAACGAAGGAACAAGCGTGTTGGGTGGTCCCGCCCCGCTGTTTATGGGGCACTGCATCTGCTGGCCCCGTATAACCCTCCGCGCTCGACCTGTGTGGTCCCACCTTACGTCCGACTTTACATTCGATTCACTACTTGCTAATGGTAGTTGCATTAGCATTAGGTGGCCGCCTGGCTGTCTCGCGTGGCATTATGCGCCGCGTGGACGGTCTCTGCTGTTACGCGATTTTTCGACCGGGCCGATATCGATCCCTTCGAACGGATTTTTTTCTATGGCCCGGTAGAACAGCCACCGACACTCGAGAAAAATCACCAGCTGCCACGACGGAGACGAAACCGTTCGCTGTTGACTGCTTGAGAAATTTCGAGGGACGATCGTTTCTGATGGCAGACGATTAACTTTGCGGAGAGGAGGGACCGAAGGAGCTAGCTGTCGCTTTTAAGGCTTTCGGAACCGAGGACGGATTGTTTCGATTCATTTCGAAAGTGAAATATGGAGAGAGTTTTGTCGAGGATTTGAAATTAAGTTTTGTGGAATGAAGAGGAGATCGATAGAGTTTGTGGAGGATTCTACTATCTTTTCTAGATGTTATAGAAGGGACTCTTGAAAAGAACGATCTGTTGGTCGAACTCGTTTCAGGATCCCCTATCGCGATACGGAGGTACATACCGATCTATTTAAAAAAACGGAGGTGACCTTCAAATGTCCGAAGTATTAGATCGTCCCAAAAGTTTCTTTCGCTTTATTAATAAGTAATACATGCTCCATTACTGTTACACGTGAATATCTATGAAATTAGATTGTCTATTTATAGAAACACGACCACATCAAATAATTGAGTGCAACTCGCGAAAGAAACTTTAACCTAACATCTCCACCTGCAAAAAAAAAAAAAGAACTATTATCGCCACCGGATGGCACCCTTCGTGCAATTTTATTTCAGCAAGTGAAACTCGTAGTTTCGAAAATATCTGAGGTGCTAACAGTTATTGCTAATAGTTATTGCTAAAATCTTTGTAAACGTACCTACAAAAATTCAACCTAAATAGGAATTTATTTTATTCCGCAAATATTATAGCATGAACTTTACTTTCAATCTTTTTTTTTATATTCTTGCGTATTGTTTGCATTTTGCAGGTACTTGGACATTCAAATTTCCCATGAACGCATAAATATCCGCAGTCTAGTGTACCGCCCTACCCTGTACGCTATAATAAAATTCTGAAAATCCCAGTTTGTCCGCTTGTTATTTCCATTGCTACCGATTTCTTTTATTTCGCGATTAAGTACTTCGTCCTTCGCCATACATTGTTATACGCATCGTTACGGAACTTGCTATCTATCATAATAAAATCCTGAAAATACCAGTTT